TACACAAAAATAACCCTGAAGGGGCTTAGGTCAGCCCGTCCCTGATATCCTGTGAGAGAGGCAGGGCAATGCTTCGAACCCACTTGAAAGGTGTGAGAGGCTGAGGGAGTCACCCTGACATGGCAGAGGCTCGATGGCAAGATGGCAGCACGTGTCCTCGGATTCTCAGAATGTGTGGTCAGTGCATCCCCTTTCATGCTGACCTCCTCTTAGCCAGTGTGGTCCTAGCTCTGCCACTCACTGGAGTATCTCTGGACAGGTCACTGCCCTCTTTCTTAGAGCTCAGACTTCAGTGGCCAACAGACCTGTATCCTGTTCCTCCTTCCCCTGCTTACCTTCTGTGCCATCTGGAGCAAGTTCCTCAGCCTCTCTGAGCCTCGGTTTCCTCCTCTTTGAGTTGGGGATGATAATGGTACCTACTTCGTGGAGTTCTTGTGAGTCCTGGATGACCATCACTCATAGGAAGGCGTTAGAGCAGTGTCCGGCACATAGTGGGCATCTCATAAATAGGAGCTGCTGCTGCTGTTGCTGCTGCCTTGTAAAGTGTCCATGTCACAGTTTTCAAAGCTGTTTAAGGATGTATTGTCTGTCATCGCCCACCAGAGACTGATTGCCATTCACAAAGGTGGAATGCCCAGAGAAGCACAGGGACTTATCCAAGGACACACAGTTAGTCCATGGCAGAGCCATGCCACAGCCTCCTGGTCTCCCTGCTCCCCCTTGCATTAGACCCTGTAATCCCCGCTCCCCTACTTCTGGTGGGTCCATTGAGTGGGTCCCAGGAGGCTGCTGTGGAAAGTGGGAAGATGCAGATCCCCATGCAGGGTGTCAAAAGCCAGGTTCTTATCCTATGCTGAGGACCCCTGTGGACCCACAGGCTGAAGAAGCCCCTTTTTAACCCTATGTTATTTTATTTTATGCTCTTACATGCATAAAATAAAATAACATAGGGTTAAAAAGAAAACCAATTATATCTGAAACATAGTTTCTAAAATGTTTTTTAAAAAAAGATGTGCTGTAGTAATATGCATGCTTCTTTATTACTACATTAAATAGCAAGATCTAGTGGCAGGTCTAATATCTACTATGTTTTTATTCCTTTCCCCACACCTTTAATGAGGTATGACTGACCAATAAAAATTGCACATGTAAGGTGTACAATGTGATGATTTTATATTCATATACATTATGAAAAGATTACCACAATTAAACTAATGAGCATATCCATAACGTCATATAGTTAACATTTTTGTGTTTTGGAACAGTGGAGAGCTACTCTCAGCAAATTTCAAGTATGCACTATATATTAGATCTCTAGAACTTATTCATCTGATAAGTGGAAGTTTGTACCCTTTGACCAACATCTCCCCATTTCCCCCACCCCTTAGTCCCTGGTGACCATTCTATCGTGCTCCTGTGAGTTTCACTATTTTAGATTCCACATTTAAGGGAGATCATGTAGTATTTGTCTTTCTGTGTTTGGCTTATTTCATGGAGCATAATGTCCCCCAGGATTTCCTTTTTTTTTTTTTCTTTAAAATATTTTTATCTCAGTTAATTTAAAATAATGGGAATATAGTATAAAACAGTGATAGCAATAGATGATAGCAATAAATAAATATACATTGCATAATAATTATTTCCAAATTGTTTACATCAATTGTTTAGATATCAGTTTTGTAACTAAATATCCTAAAGCATCATACAGTATGGTACAACTTGGGTTGATACTTTAACAGATGTCCTGTGGTAGCTCTTATGCACAGATCCCATGCTCAGACGTGCTGGTGTGCAGTTTGGGTGTTTTTTGTTTAGTTTTAGATGTTCAGCTTATTGTTGTTTCAAGGGGAGAGAGAGATCTGGGGACGTCTCTCACTCTGCATGTTTCTCCAAACTCCTTCTTTTTTAAGATTGAATAATATTCTGCTGTATAGATGTACCACATTTTCTTTTATCTATTCATTCATCAATAGATACTCGGGTTGTTCCCATTTCTTGGCCACTGCTAATAATGCTGCAATGAACATAAGGTGAAGAATGCTCTTGAAGATAAGTGATTTTGGATAAATACCAGAAGAGGAATTGCTGAATCATATGGTAGTTCTATTTTAATTTCTCGAGGAGCCTCCATACTGTTTTCCATAGTGGATGCACCAGTTTACATTCCCATCAACGGTGAACTGGGTTTCCCTTTTTCCACATCCTTGCCAACACTTAGTTTGACTCTTTGATAATAGTCATTCTAACTAGTGTGAGATGTTATCTCATTGTGGTTTTGATTTATATTTATCTAATGATTAGTCATGTTGAGCATCTTTTCATGTACTTGTTAGCCATTTGTATATCTTCTTTGCAAAAATATCTATTCAGGGCCTTTGCCCATTTTCAAATTGTATTATTTGTCTTTTTTTTACTATTGAGTTGTATGAGCTCCTATTTTTTGTATATTATCAGGTATATATACCTGGGTACATCACATATAACCTTATCAGACATATGGTTTACAAATATTTTCTCTCATTCTTTAGATTCCCTTTTCATTTTGTTGATTGTTTCCTTTGCTATGCAAAACCTTCTTAGGTTGATGCAATCCTACTTTTTATTTTTTTGTCATTGCCTGTGTTTTTGGTGTCAAGTCCAAAAAATTATTGTCAAGACCATTCCTTACATTTTTATGTTTTCTTCCAGGACTTATACAATTCAGGTCTTACATTTAAGTCTTTAATTCATTTTTGAGTTGATTTTTCTATATGGTATAAGAAAAAGGTCCAATTTCTTTCTCTTTTTTTTTTTTTTTGCTTGATTGTTTTTCTCCCTCACCCAGGTCCCAGTACACCATTTATTGAAGAGACCGTCCTTTTCCCCTTTGTGTATTCTTGGCACCTTGGTCAAAGATTAATTGACCTTATATGTGGGTTGTTATTTCTGGGCTCTCTGTTTTGTTCTATTAGTCTATGTGTCTGTTTGTACACCAGTAGCATTCTATTCTAATTACCGTAGCTTTGCAGTTTAAAATCAGGAAGTGCGATGACTCTGGCTTTGTTCTTGCTCAAGATTGCTTTAGCTATTTGGGGTCTTTTGTGGTTCCATACAAATTTTAGGATTATTTTATCTATGATCCTAAATGAAAAATGCCATTGGAATTTTAATAGTGATTGCTTTGAGCTCACTCTGGCTGTTGGTGGAGAACAGACAATAGGGGATAAAAGGCAGATGCTGGGAGACTTGTAAGGGAGCTGTGCAGGAACCTGGCCGAGAGGTGAAGGAGGTTTAGAGTGGGGTGGGAGCAGCAGAGGAGTGAGATGGTATTAAAGCCAGAGTACATACAGTTGCTGATGGTCTTGGGGGGAGGTCAAGGCTGACTCTGAGTTTTTGTCTGAGCACCTAAAGAATGGAGTTGCCATCAGCTAAGATGGGGAAGGCTGCAGGAGCAAGATTTTGGGGGATGAGGGAGCAGTTATTCATTTAGGAAACCCATATGGTGCTCTTTTGCCAACAGGATTCCTGAGAAATGGGGGGCCTTTAGGCTCTTTAGTCATAATAATTTCAAGGGAAAATAATTTACATTGAATCAAATTAATTCCAAATTGGACCCATTGCTATTCCTGTCGCTGGTAACGTCTCCACGTGTTTCCTGTCCTCTCCAAGAGGTTAAAAATGCCACCACATAAAGTTTAAAGGAAAAAGAAACACTTAACTAAAAATATTAGTAAAGAAAGAAATTCATATTATCAAAATACTTAAAATTAATGGGAGTTACATATTATACGTTTATGCTTATTTATTTTTAATGTTATATACAACGTGGTGTGTGTATGTATCTTTTAGGATCATTTTGTCTGAAGTATACAGTTCAAGTCCAATGTTTCCATCTTAATTTTCTTTCTGGATGATCTATTCATTGTTGAAAGCGAGGTATTGATGTCTCCTACTGTTGTTGCATTACTGTCCATTTTTCCCTTTAGATCTGCTACTATTTGTGTTATGTATTTAAGTGCTCCTATCTACCATGATTTGAAATTAGTGATGAGTTTGAACAGTACTTGGAGAACTCTTTCATTATTAAATTTGTGATATGACATTGGTAGATATGGGTGACAAACTCACAGGTATTGCTAATACTAATGTGATTTGTTGCTTACATCCATGCATAAAGGAAATAGCACATTTCAGTTAGAATTTAGTGACAATTAAAATATAATTTTTCCCAACTCAATAAGTTTACTGTAAATTGCTGACCTGAGTCCAGGGTTCCCTCCCTGTCCATTGATATCTCAGGCTCAGTAAAGGAGATCCCAGGGTACTCATTCAACCTCAGGATCCCATTCAATGTCATGACCTACCCCAACCTTACCCTCAGAGAGTGGGATTTCAGTATTTACTCTTTCATTCAGCAAATATTAAACATCAGCTCTTTGCCAGGCTCTGCGATAAATGGTGAGATCCAAAGTCAAATAAGGTGAGATCCCCTTCCTTCAAGCTGCTCAACATCTACTTAAGGAAGAGCATCAGAGGTACTGTTGCAAAATGCAAAATGTAAACAAGCAGAGGAAAAAGCCCGCCCTTCCTGGTAATTAAAGATAACACCCAGTGATGATGAGGTTGGGGTTAAATAGTCACTACTGGATAGTAACACTTCCTACCACATAATCCTTTTGAAAATAAGTATGGCATTGCATAGCATTGATTATAGAAATTCCATACCCTTCTTTCTGAGCACTCTTACTCTTGCGAATTTGTCCTGAAGAAGTAATCTAGCAGGAAAGACAAAGGGTGGATGGCAGAGGTCCTTCCCCTTGCTCTTCCTGAATCTGTGCCCTCCTTGGGAAAGGGCCGGGTCTCATTCAGCTTGTCCCCCTATGACGGCATTAGTTAGCAGTCTTGAAGGCCTGTTGGGTGAATATTTGACCACCATGAAGTTACAACAAACAAGAGACAGAGGTAGTAGGAAGGGAAGTCCAGGGACCCTCCCCTGACCAGGTTCCTGTTTTCTCTTCCAGCCACCAAACTGTCAGGAAAGATGGATAAACCGCTCATCAGCCGCCGCCTGGTGGACAGTGACAGCAGCCTTGCAGAGTTCCCCAGTGAGGCTCCCAAAGTGGGCATCCTGGGCAGCGGAGACTTTGCCCGCTCTCTGGCCACACGCCTAGTGGGCTCCGGCCTCAGCGTGGTGGTTGGAAGCCGCCACCCCAAACGCATGGTCGGGCTATTCCCCTCTGCAGCAAAAGTGACTTTCCAGGCGGAGGCAGTAGGCTCCCCTGAGGTCATTTTTGTGGCTGTATTCCGGGAGCATTACTCCTCGCTGTGTGGTCTTAGCGACCAGCTAGCTGGCAAGATCCTGGTGGATGTGAGCAACCCCACAGAGCAGGAGCACCTTCAGCACCGTGAGTCCAATGCCGAGTACCTGGCTTCCCTCTTCCCCACCTGCACAGTGGTCAAGGCCTTCAATGTCATCTCTGCCTGGACCTTGCAGGCTGGCCTGAGGGATGGGAACAGGCAGGTAGGTGCTGGGGAATAATAACCATCATAACAATAACTATAAATGGCTGAGTTTCCTTGAGGACCCTCGGGGTGATGGGCACTTCGTGTTCATTGTCTCAGCTTGTCTCATATCACTGCCAAGTTGCATTATACAGAGGAGGAAACTGAGGCTCAGAGATGTTGATGAACTTACTTACGCTCAGTCCCACAGCTAGTGAGCTGGGATTTGAACCCAGTTCCCATAAATCTGAAATCTGTATTTTTTCTTCTATGGTAACTTAATTACCTAGAGGGCAAGGAGGAAATAGTCGATGGCTTTCATTCTCATATTTAGAGTAGAGAAGGGGAGAGACTTTGCTTTTAGAATTGGACTCAGAAGGAGAAAAGTAACATTTATCTGCCAAGTCCAGAGGAAGCATGTATGTCCCAAAATTTATGTCATTTATTCGAAAGTCTTCTAAGAACTGAATGGATTTCTCAGAATAGTCAAGAGCAGATTTTTTGGGAAGTGAAAAATGGCTGCAAAAAAACGGCCAGAGCTTCATACAGTTCTTGGCAAGAGAAGCTCTCTCAAGACAAGGTGGTTTTTAATGCCAAGAGGCCAAGCATTTTCCTGGAGGAAGAAGCCAGGTTCCACAAGTGTGTAAGAACTTCTGCCAATGAGTCCAGCTCAGATTCTCCTTCTGCACAGCTCCATGCCAGGCTGGGAGAGAGCACATGGGTGCCTAGCCACTGCTGTCTGTAGGGACTCCCATATTTGGACAGGCCAGGGACAGTGAGTGAGAGTAGGTGGCAGGGCCTAGAAGGAACAGAGCTAGTGGCTGGCTGGGAAAGACGTTGAGGTTGACCTTGGCCTTAGCCCACCTCATGCTGTTAAGCACAGGGAGCAGCAGGGCATTCTAGGCCAAAGGGACAACACTCAAAGACACAGACCTCAGTTTCCTCACCTGAAAAATGGGGACAGTAGTGCCTACCTGAAGGTTTGTGGCAAGGCTGAGGGACTGCAAAATGAAGAGCCCAGTACATAGTAGGTGCTGAGTCAATGTTGGTAGACCAAACTGACCATAGCAGGGTCAGTAAGGCCCATGGAGTGTTTGGGGACTTGAGGACGCCAGTGTGCCTGCATGAGAGCTCATAGTGGGGACTGGTGGGCTATGAGGCAAGGCTGGCTTGTGGAAGACCTTGTATGTTGGTTGAGGGCCATAGCAGGCCATAAGGGACCAAGGGACATGATCTAAGGGAACACTGCTGGACTAAGGGATAGAGCTGCACCTTCTGGGCCATATGTAAAGCCCTATTGCTGAGAGATCCCCAGGGCAGACCACTATCCTCAAACCACCTATTCCAAGGGTCCATGGGGCTACCTAGGTGGGCGTTTTGCTTGTGAAGGCTGGTAGTAATGAACTAGGCAAAATACTCCCTGCTAGGTGAGCACCACGCACTCTCCCTGAGTAGTGGGCATTGCTTGGCTAGCTGGGAGGCCACACGGAGCCAAGGAAGGATTTCTGGCATGGGAGTCAGAGCCACCTCTGCTACCAACTGTATTATTAACTGGCAACTCTCTGGGCCTTGGTTTTCTCAGCTGCTCAGTGAGTTTGGCCCTGATGCTCTCTGAGGCCCTGCTCAGTCATGTGGCCTGTGAACCTGTCCGATTCCCCTTCTTCTTCCCACAGGTGCCCATCTGCAGTGACCAGCCAGAAGCCAAGCGCACTGTCTCAGAGCTGGCACATGCCATGGGCTTCACGCCTGTGGACATGGGGTCCCTGGCCTCGGCCCGGGAGATAGAAGCTATTCCTCTGCGCCTGCTCCCGGGCTGGAAGGTGCCCACCATTCTGGCCCTGGGGCTTTTCATCTTCTTCTACACCTACAACTTCATCCGGGATGTGCTGCAGCCCTATGTACAAGAGAACAAGAATGAGTTCTACAAGCTCCCCTTCTCTGTGGTCAACACGACGCCGCCGTGCGTGGCCTACGTGCTGCTGTCACTAGTCTACCTGCCAGGTGTGCTTGCGGCCACCCTGCAGCTGTGGCGCGGCACCAAGTACCACCGCTTCCCCGACTGGCTGGACCACTGGCTGCAGCACCGCAAGCAGATAGGCCTGCTCAGCTTCTTCTGCGCCGCCCTGCACGCTGTCTACAGCGTCTGCCTGCCGGTGCGCATCTCCTACCGCTACAACCTGGTCAACCTCGCCATCAAGCAGGTACAGCCCACCCGGGTTCCAGGACGAGCCACGCCCATGGGTGCAGCCCGCTAGTCACTGTGTCGTATGTGTCACTAGTTGTGAATTCTGCCCCAAATGAGCAGTGCCCATGTCCTGCTGTCCAAGATTTGGAGTGTCAGTGAACAAAATATGACAGTCCCTATGCTCGTGGGCACAGCTCTGGCAGGGGAGCCTTAACCAAATAGAGCAGTTAGTTATAGAGGGTTTTTAGAAGATCATGAGTACTAAGGAGAGAAATCAAGCAGGGGAAAGGGGTAGGGTACAATTTTAAAGGGTGGTCGGGGCGGGGCGGGGCTTGCTGAGCGGTGATCTGTGAGCAAAGGCAGGAAGGAGTCTAGAGTGAGCCCGTGGCTAGTGGAAGAGAAGCAAGAGCAGAAGCCCTTGGGTGGAGCCAAGGGCACTTGTGCCTGGCACAAGTGAAGAACAGCCAAGAGGCCTTTGTGGCTGGAGCAGGTGGTGGTAGGTGAGGCCTGACAGGGTGAAGCCAGACCAGGGAAGCCTTGAAGGCTGAAGACAGGCTTTGGCCTTAAACATGGTAAAATAGGGAGGCAGTGACGGCTCTTGAGTAGAGGAGTGATGGTCCATCTGATATTTTAACTGGCTCACTCTGACTATTGGTGGAGAACAGACAATAGGGGGTAAAAGGCAGATGCTGGGAGACCTGTAAGGGAGCTGTGCAGGAACCTGGCCGAGAGGCGAAGAAGGTTTAGAGTGGGGTGGGAGCAGCAGAGGAGTGAGATGGTATTAAAGCCAGAGTACACACAGTTGCTGACAGACTTGGGGGTGGTCAAGGGTGACTCTGAGTTTTTGTCTGAGCACCTAGAGAATGGAGTTGCCATCAGCTGAGATGGGGAAGGCTGCAAGAACAAGATTTGGGGGAACAAGGGAGTAATTATTCATTTAGGAAACCCAGCAGGATTCCTAGGAATCCAGGTAGCAGCCCAGGCAGCATCAGCGGGTACCTGTACCCATAGAAACAGGCCTCATGATGCTTCCTCCTGGCTTACAGGACCTGATTCTGAGTCCCAAGCTTAGGTCTGCGAGCAACACTGCCTTTCTTTAGTTTCCCCAACCAGCTTTAGTCTATCTCCAGTCCCCACCTTTGAGCCTGGTATGTGGGTTCTGCCTACTCCAGGATACTAGTCACCCCAAAAGTTTGTCCCAGGTGCCAGAGAGACACTTCTCATCTACTCCTCTTTCCAGCCCAGATAGACCCTGCAGTTTCTGTTCCTGCTTGGGAGATATAGGGATCCTGATGGGGCCGGGTCCCTCCCAGGTACACTCACCATGCAGACATCCCCTCTGAGGTCAGACTACCTCCCAGAGCAGGACCAGGAGGCAAGGTTGGGCTGCTGCCTGGGAACCACAGACCTCTGTCCCTACTCTCTCTCAAGTCCCCTTCTTCCTTGCTGGCAGCTTCTCAAATGCCCTCCTCCTTCCCCACCCGTGGACACCTGGCATCATGTATCTGTGGGCTTTAGCTTTCATTTCAAAAAAGGGAGAACCCCAGACTCAGGCAGAGAAGCAAGATGTCTGCTGGAAATTAGAGGAATTGAAAAAGTTAATAGTTACGAACCTTAAAAAAAAAACTTGCTATATTCCAGCTACCGTTCTAAGGGCTTTATAATCAGTGTGAATTCTTTTGACACTTACCTCATCCCTATAAGCCAGGTACTTCCCTTATTTTACAGGTGAGAAAACTGAGCCATAGAGGTTAAGTAACTTGTCCAAAGTCACACAGCCAGTAAGTGACAGGGCCGGGATTCAAATTCAGCCATTCTCCAGATCCACGCTCGTATCTATATTGCTTTCTAAAGAGGAAGCAAGTCCAGGTAAACAGTTGAGTAAATGATCCCAGGACTCAGATCACTCATTCATTCACTGAATATCTATTCTACCAGGCTCTGGGGTCACAGAAGAGAATAAGACAGAGACAATTGTAGGGAGGTGTAGAGCGGTATGGAGGGCTGAAGGCCAAAACCCTGGGCTCTTATCCTCCAGCATCACTGATTGGAACAAAGACTTTGACGTTGACCTTGACCTCTTTTGTCCTCAAGGCCCTGATGTGTAGATCGAGATCTTTCCCAGTGTGAATTTTTTTGATACCCTTTGATATTTATTTCTAAAAAGAGCCAGCCTGCAAGGCAGGAGGCTCTGTGTGGTTCCTCAGGGACAGGCACAGTGTTTGTTGCCCAGGAGGTGGCAGATCTGGGTGGTTTGTATTTCAGGCAGTAGGGTGGGGAAGAAAGAACCACCCCTCCCCCTAGAGTCCAAGGCAAACCCCTGCTGCCCACCACCACCCTCTGCCAGCCTTTGGCTAAATTCTATGCCCTGACAAGGCTCTCTTTGATAGTATGTTAATCCAGTTTTGCAATGATGCAAATACCAGGGCACAGAGGGGCGCAGGCCAGGTAGTTTCCTGGAGTTCCAAAGTCCTTAAGGCCTGCAGGCTCCCCCTTCCCCCTCCACCTTCCTCCCTCTAGTAGAGGTTGCCAGGCAACCATCACTCCCACAGGACAGGATCACTCTCAGAGACAATGAAGACCTGTCACGCAAAAGGGCTTAACCTTGTTCTGCAGAATTCTGGAGGGCAGAGCTAGGGTGGACGTGGGTATGTCAGGGAGCGGGGATGGTTAGAGGAAGACGTAGTTAACACAGAGCAGAGCAACCCAGAAGTGGTGAGTTGCCTAAACCTGGAGGTGTTCAAGCAGATATTGGATAGTCTGTGGGTCACCCATGTTCTCAGGCTCTGAGAATGTACATCAGAGGCTGCTATGCATTCACCTGCTAATACCAGGGCCTCCAGGGAGTCTGATGTGTGACTTTCCCAGCTGGCCCTTGGACTGCCCTCTCAGGGCCTCCTAGTGGGCGAGTACTCACCACCCTTTGGGGAAAACGACCATGTTAGCAAAGGCACAAGAGACTTTCTGCAAGGTTTCCTTCAAGACCCTGCGTCTGCAGACTTGGAGGCAGAGCGATATACCAGCTGTAGAGAAAACTTCTCTGACCATATTTACCGATGGCATTATCAGAGACAATAACAAATATTTGTATAGCACCTTCTGATTTGCTAAATGTCTTGTTCTTATAAGAAATGCATTTCAAGATCAAGATCAAAGAAAATGTTTAACCCACACACTATTTTCTTCTCCCTCTTGTCCAAAATCTAGTCTGGGCTCTCAGAGAATTGTCTAAAAGTCACGTTTGACCATGTCGCTGCGTGACGCCCCACTGCCCCGGGGCAGTAACAGACCATTGGCAGTGCGGCAGCACTCTCTTCCCAGCCTCGTCTCCCCACTGCTCCTGCGACACATCACACTCTGGTCCCATATTATCCTCTGAATGGGCGAAGCTCATTCCTCCTTCCCTAGGCTCCCCACGCTGGGAAACCTTGACAGCCTGACAAACTCCTATTTCTCCCTCAAAACCCTACTTCTGTTAAGCCCTCTCAGCCTATCTCCTTCATTCCCCATGCTCATCTCTGTAAAATGTATTTTGTCCACACTTCGGTGATTTTTCTTTTGCATCACTTTGTAATCACTCATTTGCATGTCTGCTGCCTGACTCAAGGGTTCTGTGACTGAGGCCTCTACCGCTTGAGGCCCATGATTCCTATACAGATTCCCAGCACGTGTTCCCTGAGTTGCTCGTTGTTAACTTGGCCACCACGGAGCCAATACCAGGCATCGCGTAAAAGGAGTACGTGTAGAAATTGGGGCAAGGACTAGTCTAACTGTCCAGTTGCCATTAGGAACAACAACTCCAGCCACTTACATTAGTCACCTACTAAGTGCCAGTCACATGCTACTCATTCCACAAACATCCTCTTCTTGGTCCTTGCAATAACACAGCAAGAGACAGTGGTGCTGTTAGCCAGGGAAGGGTCCCATGACTGTCCCCAGGGCAGCGTTGGCATTGAAATCCAGGCTTTGGAACCGCAAGGCTGTTCTGCCCTCCCTCACCACAGGCTGCCTCGTCCATATCCTGCCCTCCCTTTCTCTGGGTCTGGCTGGTAGTAGGCACCACCCTCTTCCCACCCACCACTCACCCTTGGGACATGGAGCAGGACTAATGCTGCAGCCCCCCTGTCCTCCTGGCCCTGAGTCCTTCAGCTTCTAACCTGTAACCTACAGGGACAGGAAACCCCACATGAATGCCACCGTTTCTTCCCTGTTGACAAACACTCCTTGTCATTCTCAAAGCGGCCGCCTTGGCTAGCTTTAAATATGGGAGAATTGCTAGGAGAATGGAGAGTTATGTACGTTCCAGGCAGCCATGCGTGACACTGGTCACTGGGGAGCCCTGCGTACAGCGCTGGGGTTCAGGTTGGGTAAGAACCTCACGGGCTATTGAAGGCGGCTGGATCCAGACCCTCCTGTGCAGGCTCCTCACCACCCATTCCACCCTTGCCTCCTCTGTCCGCCCTTTCCCAGCATCCCTGTGGAGTGGAAATGTTAGAGGAAAAAAACAAGACATTCTGTAAGCAAATGTGGTATGTGCGTAATCCAAACTCTGACTTGTGACATTAACTGCCTGATCTTACCGAAATGCAGAAAGCAGTGACTAATGAAGTATACTTGAAGAACAAATGACTTGCAGGGAGGAGGTGACTTAGTGAGCAGCAGCTGTTGATGCTGTGAAGGTATAAGACTTGTTTGGGCTCAGTTACACAGGAGCCCTCTCCGCCCTTTGCAGGGTGATATCAGCCACACCCTTGTAGCTAATACTGACATTCGTTTGTACACTAGCAGAGTCTTAGGATGGCAGACATGACCTCACTCAGCTCTCTCAGGCAGAGAAACGGAAGCCCAGAGTCACACACGACTCATGGTCAGGTTGAGACTCTGCGTCCCCAGACTCCTGGTTCTTTTGAGGCTTGAAAACACCAAAGTGAGCCAGCCTTCCCTAAAATAGAACAGAGGCGATCATTTTTCTCAAATTGCAGGAAAAGTACCCAATGGATGGCATTTTATCGATTTCTTTAAACTTTCTCTCATAAGCTTTTCAAACATTTTTGCTCAGCCCACTAGATTCATTTTTAATATTATATCTGCTAACTAGGCTTGGGTTATTTTTTTCCTGATGAAATACTTTCTCAAAAACCTGTACGAGTCATTCTGTTTTGCGAAGCAGAGGCCTGCCTACTAAAGCACTGTCACATTTCCTAATGAAAATACTCTTCCTTGTTTTACCGGGAGAATTAAAGTACCAGTATTTCATGGTGTTTCTCAGAGAACACCTTGACTTCCCGGAACTCTGCTACCTGGTGTAGTTGGGAAATGGTTCTAATGGAAGGACCTTGATAAAGTTCTTGTGTGTGCGCTGTACATGTGAATGTCAGCTGGGCTAGGAGGAAATTCAGCCGCAAGGACACTCCAGATGGGGAGGGAGAGGGTAGAAATCTCTGGACCCACGGGGATCCCTCTTAATGTGTCCTCAGAGCTCAGTGGGGGATTCCAGAGTTCTCTGAGGACATGCAGCCCTGGGCCCAGCACACAGTAGGTGCTTTATAAGTGCCCACTAGTCTGCTTGGTGAGTGGATGTCAGTGTGTTGAGTGGCAGTGGTAAGCCAAAGCTACATGCTTCAGACAGGAATGAGGAGCTGTGTGGGAAGATGGAAGCTGGGAGCTTTGAGTCAGGAAATGTTAACAGGTTTAGTGTCTGCGTATGTCTTCGTGTGCCCTGGATGCAAGTGATGCAGGCAACTTGGGTGAATCAGGAGGGCAAAGGATCTGAGAGAATAAGCAGGCAATAGAAGCATGAGCCCATCTGGCCAAAGGGAATCTGAGCTAAGAGAGATCCTGCTCTCTCTTTTTGGGGTTTGGGGACGAGAAAACTGAGTGATATGTTCATGTTTGAAGGATCTGTATGTCTTGTTGACTTCTTTGACTCTTACCTGACTCATGTGACCATCTGGCTAATTGGCCCCAGGCATATCTGTGACAGCTATGAGGAGGGAGCCCATGCCTTTGGAGGCACAATGCCTGGGTCCTGGTCCCACTTTTGCCATCTCCTAGCTGAGTGTGACTACGGGGAAGGTACTTGATCTTTTTGCCTTGTTTCTTAGTTCTGTAAAATGGAGATAAGAGCGACCTCTACCTCGTGGGGTGGTTGTGAGGATTAGATGATCACCTAAAGAGCTTAGTACAGAGTTAGGCACATGTTATGTGTGATGGAAATGTTAGTCATTTCTCTGTGTCTTGCATCCTAAGGTATTCACTCACCCGCAGCCTAGGGCACCGACCATTGCTACAGTGTTCATGGTTTTCCTCCTCTGCACATCAGGTCTTGACCAACAAGAGTCACCTCTGGGTTGAAGAAAACGTCTGGCGAATGGAGATATATCTGTCCCTGGGAGTGCTGGCCCTGGGCGTGCTATCCCTGCTGGCTGTCACCTCGCTGCCGTCCATTGCCAACTCGCTCAACTGGAGAGAGTTTAACTTTGTTCAGGTAAAGCAGGTCTGCCTCTGCTGGTGAGCCTCAGCTTGGCTCTGGCCTCGCCTCATGTGCAAGCCCCTTCCGCTTTGCAGACTGCCTCGAGTTTGATAATCTGTACAGCAGGACCACTTCCAAGCCTCGGGAGCCCATCCAAATCTCCTGATAAAGGGGCTACCTGGGATAAGCTCATCTTCCTGACATCTGAGGAAGCCAGATATAAGCATGAGAAAATATTAGACAACAGAATGCTGAATCCTGAATTAAACAGTATCAGTTCCTACAATTCTTGAGCTTCCTAAACAAAATCTCATGATATGCAGTCATTAAACAGCTTGCTGTCCTAGCCGGGATCCATGAGCCGGTAGGTGAGCCTGGTGCATCATCGAGCACCCTACTCTCATCCCGGTCCTGTTGGTCCCTTTAACCCCTTGATTCGGGCAGGGCAGACAGGAGGTGAGCATTGGGATCATCAGTTTATGGGGGATGAAACACAGCATTTCCCAAAGGACATCGTCGCTGTAAAAAAAATCCAGAGAAAAGGAGGTCTGTAGTCAAATGAACCTGAGTAAAGTTTCGCTTCCCCCCAAGAGAGTCATAATGCACTTTGGCACATCAGAGATTCTAATAACATCTATAACAACAGACCTTGTTAACCAGGCTTATTTGAGCATTAATATCCTCCCCCCGCCTCTTTCAGATAACAGCTATCTACGGGCCACAGAACATCCTTTGAGAAGTGCTACTAGAGACATGAGGTTCTTTGTGCATTTATTCACTCAGTAGCTATTGATTGAGACTTACTGCATGCCAGGCATCGTGCTAGGCCTGGGATGCAATAGGGAACAAGACAGGCATAGCCACATTTCAGTTATAAGGACAATCGGGACAGGGACATTTTTTACATTTCTTTGGCATCTGCTACTGTTCCCCACACGCAGTACGTGGTCAGCTCCCCAGTGTTGGCGGATTAACTCATCCCCTCCCATGGATGGGTGCTGACTAATACTGGATTCTGCCACCACTGTTGTGTCAGGGCAGAGAACAGCTATCGTATCCACCTCCACTGTCAACAAAAATCTGTTGCAAATCTTCTCTGTGCAGCAAGGACACAGCACAGGATTTAAAGAGGGATACTGATGGTATAATGCTCTTATGTAATCCAAATTAATTGTCCCTGATTGGGACTGCTTCCGTACCCTAGAATAAAAGAGCTGTGCTTTTTTTTTTTTTTTTTTTCAGTGTGTCTGTTTCTGAATCTCACTGGCTCTGCTCATCTCAGAAGGTCCCTGGAGAAGTGCTCAGGGCCGACACATGCTGGCATTAGAGAGTGAAAAAAGAATTTTATTTATTGGCTGCTAATCCTCATGTGTCACACATCCAAATCTAGGATTTTCCTGTTCCTGCCTGGAGTATCCCAGGGTACATGGTTTATCCACAATTAAAACAGACTTCAGGTTGCTCCCCTCACCAGAAAGTTGCTCCCTTAAGCAGCCACAGATTACAAGCCGAGCTGCGGCTGCCTGGGAAAGCCAGAGGATTTGGTTTTGTTAGTCAAGCTGACCGGGACCTCAGCGGCCGGCAGTACCCTGCTTTACATATTGAAGAGTCGAAAGACAAATGTGAAAGTCCTCCTGCCACTGCAAGAGCAGGAGAGTTATAAGGCTGAGAGATGGGGAGAAAGGCAGGGTTTTACTTGTGGAAATCAAATTCCCGCATTCTGTCCACAAAAACAAATGCTCTGTCTCCCCAAGGAGTGTGATGCAGAAGACCAGCTGAGTGCCCAGGAGCCCAGTCCTGGCTCTGCCACTGTGGGTAGATCACATCGGCTCCCGGAGCTTCTTGTAAAATGGAGTTAGTGCCTTGCAAGGATGCTGTGAGCCACCGGGAGAGATTATGTGCGAAAGAAAGATAAAAGGCATTTTGCTATCATTTTTTGGGTATGTGGCCTCATTTCCATTATCCCTGACTAAGCTCTACCATTTAGCCACTTCTGAGTTCCGTAGGAGGCAGTGAGAGAAGGGCTAAGGGAGTCTGACCCTGGGCATGAGAATGGTTTGGGTCAGTGTTTGCAAACTGTGGTTGACACTCATTGGTGGGTCATGAAATCATTTTAATGGGTCACAGCCAGCTTTTTAAATAAGATAGAATGGCAAAGAAAACATCGGAGTGCTTTGTATGTTGTAAGGATAGATATTTATTCAGCTATGTCAATTCAGTAGGCATTTATACATATGTGGTATTCCTGATTGTGTATTGGGCAATAATGTGATTCTTACTGTGAGCTGCCATCAAAAAAGTTTGAAGTCACAGAACTCTTTCGGAGAAATAGAGATACACAGGCCCATTCCCAACCCATGGACTCAGATACCCGGGGTTGGCCCAGTATGGCTCTGAAAGTCAGTTTTTGCCAGCTCCTCGAGTGACTCAGGTATACATGATACAGTGTGGCAACTTCTGGGGGAGGGGACTGGGTTTGGAGCCAGGAGACATAGGTTTCGGTTCCAAGACCACCACTTTCCAGCCCTTCAGACAGATTTTTTTGCCTCTTAGAGCATCTGTGTCCTCACTTATATCTGTGTCCACTTCCTGTGGTCATTGGGAGGAGCTGAGTTGAGGACATGTAAAATGCACAATATGTGCACCCAATAGTGTGGTTTCTGACCTAAGCTGAAGTCTTCTCCTGTAAAGTAAGCACTGCCAGCAAGGAGCAACCTGGACCCCATTTCTGTCCCCTACCACACAGGACTGCAGCAAGTCTTGGAAACTGTCTGTGGAGATGCCATGGTTCGCAATGGGCCTGGCCTGACCCCTGAGTCTTTAATGATTTATTTAGCTAAAAGCTATCAAAACAGTGTGTCCATTCCACAGAGGTGACTTGTACTTATGTTCATCCTTTTGTTTCTGAGGCTGTTTTCAAAGTTTTTAATTTGGGTTTTTGTTTGTTTGGGTGGCGGTGTTATTATTTTGGTTTGGTTTTAGCTGCGGTAACTGCTCCTAATTAACCCAATAAACATCATTAGATTGCGAAATACCCAGGTTGGTTGTGCAGATCACCTGGACAGAGAAATTCGGGTTCAATTCGTAGCACCTCGGTTCTGCCCCAAAGGAAGAGGAAATTCCTGTGACCTTGCCCACTCAGCCACTGGCCTGAAATAATGAGAGCTCTGACCCAGCCTCGTGAGCAATTGTCCAAAGCCTCTTCATGCCACAGTAATCGAGCATGAGGGACCTGGCTGCTTCTTTTTTGCTAACGAGGTTACGTATAATAAAAACGGCCCTAGCTTGGGCAGGGCGTGTATTAATTGCCCTATGACAATGTTTCCCTTCCTTTCGGCCCCCTTTGGCTGCTCTGGGATTTTTAAATTATTCCCAAGAAGAGAGTTTAGGACAACAAACTTGCTGGAATCCTCCAGGCTCCCATTGGGATTAGAAAGTTACAAGGCCTTTTATTACTGGCTGGCTTTGGCTGGCAGCACTCTCTGCGAACCACTGCCTCAGGCTGGGGCTTCCTCCCACCTGTCACCATGGAATTTGGGGTGGCAAAGGGATGAGGATGTATGGATGCGAGCAGCATCTCCATACTCCCAGTGTATGTCCCACATGCCCAGCACGATCCATCACTCTCCATATTAGGGGTTGGGGAAAATAGCCCCAGAACGTATCACTGAGGGAGGTACTGAGGCCTCACTAGGGCCACCAGGGTGAGGATCCTAAGCCTGGGTGGGTTCTCATTGCCGCAGCATATGGGGAGCCCCATGATGTAGATTGTGGGCACACTGAGGCTCGCAGTGGATATTTGTCAAAGGAACAGAAAAGTCCAGTTTCTCCCCAACAAATGGCCATGAGAACTTCTTAACCTGAAGTCAGAAGTGCTTAGGTTGTGATAGCCTTTAAATTAGTGATTCTTAGTCCTGGTTGTACTATAGTCCATCATCACTGAATTTCTAGAAGCTACTGATACTTGAGTCCTAATCCAAACCGATTTAATCCATATTTCTGGGACTGGAGTTTAGGCATTAATATTTTTTCCCAGCTTCTCAGGTTATTTTAATATGTAGCTAGATTTGAAAAACCACAGTCTCAGACTGATAAACTCTCAGAGGTAAAAGGCACTTTGTAGCCATCTCGGCAAACTCCATAAATCCACACAAGTAGGCTGAGTAAGGGTTTGTTGCCAGGCAGCTGGCTGAGGAACATCAGGATGGTCATCGGGCTCATTCAAGATTTATTTCTGATGGTCAGTGCTGGTACCTTATTCTGCCCCCTGTTTCAGCGTGTGTGGGGGGGCGCGGTGCATGTGGGGTAAAATACACAAAACATAAAATATACCATCTTAACCATTTCTAAGTATACAGTTTAGTGGCATCAAGTACAATCATAATGTACAACCATCACCATCATCCTTCTCCTGAGCTCTTTTCATCTTGCAAAACTGAAACCCTGTGCGCATTAAATAATAAGTCTCCATTACCCCTCTTCCTACCCCTGGCGACCACCATTCTGCTTTCTGTCTCTCAATTTGTCTACACAGGTGCCTCATAAAAGTGGAATCATATAGTCTTTGTCTTTTTGTGACTGGTTTATTTCACTTAGCATAATGTCCACAGGGTTCACCCATGTCATAGCATATGTCAGAATTTCCTTCCTTTTTAAGGCTTAATAATATTTCATTATATACACACACACACACACACACACACACACACACACACACATATGTATATATATATGTGTGTGTATATATGTATATATATGTGTGTGTGTGTGTGTGTGTGTGTATACATATATATACTTATTGAAGAGTACACACACACACACACACACATATGCCAGACTGTTTTTTATCTATTCATCTGTTACTGAACACTTGGGTTGCTTCTACATTTTAGCTACTGTGAATAATGCTGCTATAAACATGAGTGTACACATATCTCTTCAAGACCCTGATTTCAATTATTTTGGATAACTACCCAGAAGCGGAATTGTTGGATCATATGATAGTTCTATTTTTAATCATTTGAGGAACTTTCATATTGTTTTCCATAGTGGCTGCACCATTTAACTAACTGCACATTCCCAATTTGCCCACATCCTCACCAACACTTGTTATTTTCTGTGTTTCTGATAGTCTACTATCTCACTGGTTTTAATTTGTATTTCCCTGATGATTAGTGATATTGAAGATCTATCTCTTCATGTGCTTATTGGCCATTCATCTCTCTTCTTTGGAGAAATTTCTATTCAAGTCCTTTGCCTTTTGAATTGGGTTGATTTTGTCTGTTTGTTTTTCTCGTTCAGTGTAGGAGATCTCTATACATTCTAGACATTAATCCCTTATCTGATATATTATTTGCAAGTATTTTCTCAGTGCTGGGGACATTTTTAACTTCAGTCTTCTTCAGCATCACTAGATCAGAACTTAGAAAATGTTGGTGTGGTTCAGAACTTGCCGGGAGATTTGGAATTCTTGATAGACATGTCCAGAAGGGATGAAAATTTGGTTGCATGTGACTCACAGTCAAGGAGATCTCCATTTGGGGGCTGACCATTTTAATATGACATATGAAGTAACTGGGTAATGGTGCAGAGCCAATCATGGCCTTTCCCAGTGGCTGTGTTAAGCCAGGAAGTTGTTGAGGATGGGATAAAAAGATCCTTGATGTGGTCACAAAACCAAGAACTGCCAGGGATGGCTAGGAAGGGTAGAGACTGGGGATCTTTGACAGCTAATATTTTATTTGGGGTCAAAAACGTTGTGTTTGGGAACCTGCCTATGAACTTATAGTGAATTAGAAAATGTGTAGTATTATTTTTCATAAAAGCATTACAAGCAATTCTTCCAAACCATGTTCTCCTACTTACTGAGGTTCACCATCCTAGTGTTTGTACTGGAACAGGTACAAACAAAGCTCCCCCAACACTAGGCACAGTAGCAGAATCAGACCCAATTAGAAAAGTGTCAGGAGAATGCAAACAAGACAGCTTCTCTTACCCAGCCTTGTATTGGTGCCGATGAGCTGGGCTGGAAGGAAATTCAGGAGGCCCAATTTCAGCTTCTTTGGAAAGCTCAAAACCAGCCTATGAAAGAGCACCCTAAAGTACCGCCATGCTGCCACATTTCAACGAAACCCTTGCATCGCGTCCTCATAGAAAATGCATATGTGTTCGTTGCTTGTTGGATTACTGCTGTTTTCATTTCTTATGTAATAAAACAGGTCTCTCCTGCCCCAAATCTCTCAGTGGTTCCTCAGTGGAATCAATCAGACCTGCCGTGTGCCTCTCCTCCCTGTCCTCCGTAAAGCCCTAACTTTTGGTGTCTTCTGTTCTCTGTCTGGGGGCTAGAGAATGCTCCGTCTACACAGCGCTGCCCCCATATCTCTGACTTTAGCTTTTGGAATCATTTACTTCCCACTGAGGCTGATTAAATGACTCACTCAGGGTCAATACCAGTCGAGACCAGCACTAACAGTAGAATCTAGAGTGCCTAATTTGTAGTCCTCAAGAAACCTGACATGCAAAAGCTTCCCTGAGGCTGGAGTTATGGATGGAGCAGCACTCCCCATCTGTTCTCATGTACAGTCCCCACAGAAAGTCATGTGTGTGTAGGGCAGTGCACAAGGAGCTCATCTTGGCTGCAAGTGACCTGTACATGGCCTAAGGGGTGGGGTGCTCCATTGTAAGATGGCCTGGACTGTTTCTATTTGTATTTGTGATGGTCTTGATCTCCCCATGGTCGTTAACCTTCTTCCAGGTGGGAGAGTAATCCTGGTGAGCTTTCTGCCTGGTGTTCATGACTCAGTACGTGGGCAGGAGGTCAGGGATCAGCACCCACAGAGAGCATCCGTCTGGTGTTCTGAGCTTTATATACAGCGTCAGGTCACGCAAACTGCAGGCCCCGGTGAGCCACCTATCGATGCCAAATCCATGTGCCAAGTACATTTTTTACTTTGTGTTTATCTTTAAATCAATTCACCTTTTTATCTGGCCTTAGGCCAAAGATTATCTGTGAAATTATGATTGTGGTATGAAAACAGACACTTGTTACTTTAATATACATTAAAACATACACAAAACAAATAAAATGTGTTTAAACTCCTTTGAACATCTAAAATCCTCTGGCTGCCACCAAAGATATGAATAACAGTTATTTTTATCAAATCCTCATGAATCAATGAATCCTTATATACATGCAGGGTAAAAGCATTATTCCTGGTTTTTTTTGTTTGTTTGGTTGGTTGGTTGGGGAAACTGAGGCTCAGAGAGTTTAGGTACTAATAAGATCACGCAGAGAGTGAGTGATAGGGTTGGGACTGGAACCCAGAGCCCTAACTGCTAAAGCCACACTCCTTCCTTCCCCTCTGCGGACAAGCGAATGAGCCACTGGTAGAATCACTGTGTCCATTGTCCCTTGGCCCTCACTCCAGCTTTCTTTTCCCCCACAGTCCACTCTGGGTTTTGTGGCCCTGGTGCTCAGCACCCTGCACACACTCACCTACGGCTGGACCCGCGCCTTCGAGGAGAGCAGCTACAAGTTCTACCTGCCCCCCACCTTCACACTCACGCTGCTGGTGCCCTGCGTCGTCATCCTGGTCAAAGGTCTCTTCCTCCTGCCCTGCTTAAGCCACAGACTTTCCAAGATTCGGAGGGGGTGGGAGAAGGACAGCGCCGTCAAGTTCACACTACCGATGGACCACGCCCTAGCTCAGAAGACAAGCCACGTGTGAGGACCCGTACCTGGCTCCAGAAACCAGATGCAGGCAGGACGGTGCCCCGAACCTGTCAGGGTTTCTTTTCTTGATCATGCAGTATGGTGTGATTGTGCACAAACTGGTGGTCTGAGGTCTGAATTCCTGGGGCACAAATGTATTCAGTAATATTCAGTATGACACACACGTGTGTGATATATGTTCATATATACTTCATATAACAGGATTTGCAATTATACTTACTTAGCTAAAATGTTGAATCCCTGAGTTTCGACATGTAGATTTAAAAGCAAGTGCCAGGTGTCAGGAGAACAGCAACTCACATTATTGTGGCATTTGCAGATATACACAAGCTTTTTGTGCAGAAAAGGCAGTGAGGGGCTTGTACCTTGGTGGAGTCGATGCACTTGTGTCTCCCACACCTGTTTTGCTACTTTCCAAAGTTTTTGCAGAGCTAGGGCTCTAAAGTGGCAGGGCAGATGGGGGCTCTGCGTGGAGTCCGACTTCAGCTGGCTGCGCTAGGCTGAAGAGTTGCCAGTGGGCAAGAGGTACGGCTCCTCACTCACCTATCTGCCTTCAGCTGGAGGGGTGGAGGAACCTGGTGTCGGTGCCCAGGTGGGAGCCGGGCAGGGAGGGAGATTGTGGCTGAAGCTGCTCCCCCTAATCCTCCCCCTGGGGGGATTTTTTTTCCCTTAAAGTCAGAAGTCAACACTGAGGACTGCAAATTGATCTTCCTGTGGGAGTGTGAAATCACCTTTTTCTCGAGCCACTAATGAACCCCATCTTGAGAATAAGTGTAATCTCTTTCCCCCCTTTAAGTTGTTGATAACCAGCCATTCTTTCCTTTCGATTGCTGTGCCTTCTCGCCTTTTAGATCATTAGTTTGAATGTCTCCAGGAAGGCCTAAATCTAACCCTCTGACAGTCAACAGGGGAGGGGAACACAAGGCAGAGGGCTCAGTGTCACAGCTGAACCTTTCTGGGGACCCCACCTGGGCGGGGGGGCGGGGGCTGGAGGACTAATTGTCTTCATTAAATTGGTCTTGTGCAAAAACACTGGGGAGCTCTTCAAATATCCTTTGCTGCCTGCCTGACAAAGATGCTGCTTTCTAAGTACCCAGAAAACCACCAGCTCCAAGTTTCTCCTAATGGAAGGTCAAGTTTCAGAAGAGCTGGGAGGGTCTTTTCCATCAAAGCTACAAACTTGAAACGCAGCTGCCCCAAAGCCTAAAAGTCTGGACTGCAGCCAGGGATACAGGACATGTGCCCTCGAATCATCTTCCATCTCTCACTGATTCATACTGAAACTGTTTTCACTTCCCCTGTGGACAGTTGTTCTCTGCCGAACACCCCCACCCAGCTTCTCTCAGAACCAGGGTGATTTGTCATCAAAAAAGTACCTTTCTACACAAAGGGGGTGAGGTCTTGATGGAAGACATCAATAAGACAGGTTCTGATCTCTAAATGCGGGGAGGGGGCATTCATATTTCTTAGGTCTCCTGGGCCTGAGGGCATCTTAAGATGGAACAAAGAGAGTCCAGAGGTCGAAGGCTGAGCAAATAGTGCTACAGGGAGAGAGAAGATGCCTCTGCCTCCCAGGGAGGCTCATGAGCTCATGTCTGAGGAGTGCATTAGGATCCTTTAGTGAAAAGGGAAAAGAAGCCAAGTGCAAGACTATCTCATTAGGCTAGTGACTGATGGAGAGAAGGCAGCGCAGGCAAAGCTGTCACTTCCTGCAGATGTTTTCCATCCGCTGCTCCAAGGCTGAGAGGCAGGAGTTTGTCTCCTAGACTGGCTCCGATGGAGCAGCATGGCTCTCAGAGAGGCTGGCTACAAAGGAAGCAGATGAAGCAAAGGTTTCAGGACTTACTTGGCAACATGAGTGCCCAGCAGTTTCCTGCTCATAGATAACAGAGAGAACATGGGCAACTGGAACCCACCCAAGATCACCAACCCAGGTTGGAATTGGCTGCCTTTCTTGTCCAATCCTCCCTAGTTCCTTATACCAAACTGACAGAGAGCAAAGTCTAGTGTGCTCCTTCCCCTTTCCTGCTTACCTCCTGCTGCAGGTGCTCTTCAGAAAGGAAAGGATGCCAAGGTGGGTGGCAGAAACGAACAGGTACAGCAGAGGGCTTGCCTACCTGCCAACTGAATAACCAGCTCAGGAAAGGCAAGGTGGGCTATGGGCTTGGCCTTGACCTCGTGTCTGCTGCTGCTCTTCCCTACCTCACCAGGCAGCTGGCAACAGCATCTCCAAGAGAGTATGTCACTTCTTTAGAGCCTAGGAAATTCTGTGTGCCTCTGGGTACAAAAGTGCCTGAACCAACATGCTGTGGGAATCCTAAATGCCACTATCAGAGGTCGACATTTAAAATGTATGCCATTGAAAGAGTCTCTGTTCTGTTTTTACCTTGTAGAACTTGTCTAAGAAGCAGTGAAAATAAACACCTAACCTTCTGTGAATTTCAGGCTTTTATTTCTGTCGTGTTGATCACCTTGACGAGCCTTCTGTCTGACTGGAGCTTGCTCTGAGTTAGGCATTGTGCAAGGTGGGCACAGAATGATCTGGGCTAGAGCTCAACTCTGAGGAAGGGCAAACTTGCAGACCTACAGCTACAGGCCAGTAAGGAAACCTGTGAGATCCAGATGACAAAGTGCAGGGGGATGTGAAAGGAGTATCCAAGGCCTGCAGGGGGCCGGGGAAAGCTTCCTGGAGGAAGCAGCATCTGCACTGTGGTCTGAAGGCTGCGGCCTTGAATGTAGGTTAGAGCAGCATTGCTTCTAGAACTATAATGTGCTTGAGAGTCGCATAGGAATCTTGTTCACATACAGGTTCTGATTCTTTGGTCTGGAATGAGGCCTGAGTCTGTGCATTTCTGATAAGCTTCCAAGTGACACGGACGGTGTTGACTCTCAGACACTCTGAGTAACCAGAGCTTAGATGAATGCTTTTGTGTCTGCTTTGCCGTAGTCTACAGCCCTGAAACCAGTGCACCCAGATCTGTCTGCCTCATGAATCTTCCCCAAGACCCTGGTGCCCTGGCTGTCCTGGCAAGCCATGCTTCCCCATACTCCCCATGTGTTGCAACCCCCTTGTTCTCTTAAGGTCGAAGGAAGGAAAGACTCTACCATAGCCAAGGCCATCTACTCTGTGCTCCGTGGAGGGTGCCCCCTGGTGGTCCCACACATCTGCCCTAGGTTCATCAGGAAAACAACTCCCTTCAGAGTCTACCCATCATTCATGCAGTCCAGCTTTTCCACTGAAGCAACCAGAACTGTCTTCCTGTGCAGGGAGGAAAAAAAGAAACCCATGTGCAGAAAGCAATCTAATGGCTAAAAACCATTTATTGGGAAAAGTAACCAAAAGCTGGCTTTGCCATTTTGAGCCCATGATTACAGCCAGAAAACAACTTCAACACAAATAATTGTCAACAGGAAAAAATATATACATATTGTGCTTGGAAGTTTGTTTTTCTACTCTGTGTCTTCCTACATGACACTGGGAGAGTTAAGTTTAAAAAGAAGTGATAAAATAGATGAAAAATAACTATTCAGGTAGTTCACATACAAACTAAAGAACAACTAAAATAACTCGTATTAGTTAAAGAGATGAATTATCTTTCAGCTATTTGACAAGCTGAACCTTTCCCAAAAGCAATGAAATGGGCCCTTGGAAGTACAGATGCTCTCTTACACTGGGTCTCTTCTTTGAACTCTTTACAAAGAGGAAGTTGGCACCACTAGTGCAGAAAGTCAGTCCCGCCAGACCGGCACCAACTTTTTCTAACAAACATGTTGAAACTCCCTTTTCACTAACCTAAAATGAAATTCAAAAATATTTTAACCTACCTGTATGTATATTTTTTAAACATCAATTTAAGATCTTAATTGAAATATAAAGTAGACATAAAGTAACTCACATTAAAATATATAGTACTAAAGATGAATGGTAATTATTATGATAAGTAATCGTACAATAAATGAGTTGGTTTTTAAGAAATGCAATGATATTCAACTAAATATCTTTATAACTGACATTTTAAAATAAGGGATAAAGATAAGAGATGTGCACATGCATGCATGCATGCACTGAGTATTGAAACTTGAATACTGTGGAGGAGTCAAGTAGGGCGAAGACAAATGGCCACTGGATTTGGAAATACGGAAACTTTATGGTGAGAATTTCAACAGAGTGTTAGTAAAATCAAGATTGGGAATGAGCGAGAAGTGAGGAAATGGAAACTACTCCTGAACAACTCTTGAGATTTAGGCTGTGAAGCAGGGGAGAGAGGATTGGTAACTGGGGAGCTATAGGGGAGTATAAATGAGTTGGGTTTTTTCCCCATAATTCTGACATGAACATGACTTAAATGTTTGGGGGAAAGAACAAGATAGACAGGAGTGGTTGAAGATCAGAGAAAAGGATGGGGAATCAGCACAGTGGCTTTAGCAAAGAGCAGAGACAGCTTGTCTTAAATTTAGGAGAAAAGGATAAGTGCCAATGAGGGGAGGGTTCAGCTTTGATGATGCAAGGTGTAGAAGTTCTCTTCTGATGATGTTTACATCCTTTGTCAAAACATAGTCAATGTCATCTGCTGAGAGTGACAGGGAAGGAAGGTTTGGCTCTGAGGGTTGAAGACAAAGAAAGGGTTAAAAATAATTGTTGGAGATAAAAAGGGCAGCTGAACAGAGAAAACATGGCAAGGTTAACCCCCCCCCCCCCCCCAAAAAAAAAAACCTCACACTGTTTATAACATTTCTTTTTTTGTCTAAGGTGAAACATACTAATCGTGTTTCTTAGGAAGTATGCAAAGTTCAGTTAAATTTTGTTTCTCCTCACCAATTTCTGTAATAATTCCAAATAGTTTATATAAGTTTAGTTTGATCTCTAATAGTTACTCAAAATGTTTTGGCTTCATTTTTGTTTTCTCTGTTCAGAAATGAACCACCACAAATGGAATCTTTCATGCACTTAGCAACCAAAATGCCTCCACAGCCAATCTTCCTATAACATGAATAATCAACCCCTTGTTTTAAGTGTTGATTTCATTTATTGAGCCAGAAACCTAGCTTCTTTTTATAATTTTCATCAAACACAGAGCCTACTCTTGAAAATCTAATTTTACCCAACAGTTAAAACTTTTCCCCAACTAGAGAATTCATTAGGGCTTTCATTTCCTAAAGAGTCTTCCTGAACTCTCAGAAGATAAGAAATCACTAGAACAGAAAATAACTGAAACACACATATACACAAAATAAACAAAACAATGCTCTCTTTGGCTATTGGCAGAAGCAAATTCAAGTCTTTTCTGGAGAAAAACAACCTCAGTTCAGATCAACCAAATAGGAGCTCAAGATCAACAAACCCTAGGTGAGAATCAGGAAAAACACAACCCCAAGAATGTCAAAGAACAGAATTATCAAATATAGAATATGCACTAAATATAGAATCAAAAAATACAGTCAAAAATAGGTAAGAAGACACTATGAAAGGACCAGACACAATGAAAAATAAAACTTTCAGAAATGAAAAATTGTTGGAAACAAATGTAATTTGATGGGTTTAACAGCAGATTAAAGAAAAGTGGTGAATTCTAAAATAGAGCTGAAAAAGTTACCCAGAAAGCAAAAAAAAAAAAAAAAGGAGACAAGTGGATAGAAAATATAAAAGGTTAAAAGAGAGAGAGGTTAAATAAAAATGCCTAACATACAAATAACCGGAGTTTCAGAAAGACAAAATGGTGGAAAGACAAATTTTAAAGAGGAGCCACACCACACTTTGATTGGATTAGTTTGTTCATTTTATTTCCCAGGGCATTGTTGGAAACAACAGAGCAATCAGCCAGTAATAGTGGAGTTTAATAGCTGAGCATGGTCACAAAAAGAAAGAAAGACCTACCAATGCCATTGTCTTCCTGAGGTGACTGGGCATACCCAAACTGAGCCTCCCTGAGAAGCAACGTCAGAGGCTTAACACTGAATGGGAGGGAGGGAATAGACACTAAAATTATCCAGCCAGTCACTTAAAAACAAATAAAAATAACAAATGGGAAGGGAAGAGAAATAGTGCCTAGAGTTGCTACAATATATTATCTAAAATGTCCAGTTTCCAACAAACGTTATGAGGTATGCAAGAAAATTTTCCAAGAAAAAAATTATGAAGCATGCAAGAAACGGGAAAATACAACCCATACACCATGAAAAACAAAACAAAACAGGGCATTAGAAACTGCCTGTGGAAATGACCAGAAAGCAAGTATCACAGAAAAATACTTCAAAACCCCGTTATAAATATGTCTAAAAATGAAGGAAAAATGAAGAGATTCACAAGTAAACAAAAACTGAGATAATTAATAATGAGCAGACCTGCCATGCAAGATACACTAACGGGAGTTCTTCAGGCTGAATTAAGAAGACACTAGACAGTAACTAAATCCACATGAAGAAATAACACCAGTAAAGGTAACTACAGAGGTAAATATATAAACATATAAATGTATTTTTTATTTGTAGTTCTTTCTATCTGATTTAAAAGATAACACATAAAGCAATAATTATATATCTGGTTGATGAGCACACAGTATATAAAGATGTCATTTCTACAACTATAACAGCACAAAGGAGGAAGAATGAAATGGAACATTTAGAAACAAAGTTCTCATACAGTATTGATATTAAGTTAGTATTAACCCAAACTAAATTGTTATAAATTAATACATTAATTATAATTCCCAGGGCAACCACTATGAAAATAACTTAAAATATATAGTAAAAGAAAAATGACAAGGGAATTGAAATGGTGCACTAGGAAATATTTATATAACACAAAAGAAGTAATGGAGAAAATGATGAACAAAAAAGAATAGAAAACAAATAACACAGTAGACATAAATTCTACCTTATCAGCAATTACATTAGATGTAAAAAGATTTAACATTCCAATTAAAAGGTAGAGATTGGCAAAATAAAATTGTTTAAATGACCTAATTATCTGTTGGCTGCAAGAGACACATTTGAGATTCAAACTCACAAATAGGTTTAAAGTGAAAGGATGGAAAAAGATAAACTATGCAAACAGTAGACTAAAGAGAAATGGAATGGCTATACAATAAAAGAGAAAGTCTTTATTGTTACTGGAGACAAAGAAGAATATTTTATAACAATAAAATTGTCAGCCAATCAAGAATAAATAAGTTATAAACATATATGCACCTAATAACAGATCCCCAAAATACATGAAGTAAACACTGTCAGAATTGAAGGGAAAAATAGACAATTCAATAAGAATAGTTGGAGACTTCAATAACCCTTTTTCAATGATAGATAGAAAAACTTGGGTGGTTCCACAGAGTAGTGGTTCGCATGTCTACTTTACATGCAGAAAGTCCTGAGTTCGAGCCCCCATGGTGCCACAGTCCATACCCTGGGTGTGCCAGGCCCTGGGCACGCCAGGCCTCAGGTGT